TATATATATATATATATATATATATATATATATATATATATATATATATATGACAACTAATGATTGAAATTGTTGTTTTGTCTTACTTTTCTAGCCAGATTTAAATATTGGAAGAAATTTAATTACATGTCAATTCATATTTTACCACAATATAAAAAGTATTACCATTTTTTTTTTGTTGCTATTACATCATCAAAGATATGAGAAGTGCCACAATAACTAAATTGTCTTTTCTAACACTGATTCTTTATCAAATAATTGATGATGCAGTTTAAAAACCAAAAACATCAATAAAATATATATTTTAATTTAATATTTTATTAATTGTTGGTTATGTTTTTCTGCAATTTTGAAACTAAAAAAAAAATTGTAATAGAATCATTTTAAGCATATTCTTCTTTTGGTTTAGAAACTTTTGTCATTTTTTATTGTGCAACATGATTATACCCTATTTTATGATTATTTTTTGATTTTTTGATTTTTTGATTTAATATTAATATTTAATTTGTATGATAATTATAAGTATATACTACAAATGATATGGACAATATAAACAAAATTTATTCTTTCAAAAGAGTATAGACGATAGTGTGGCTCCTCTACATCTTGCTATTTGAAATATTAAAAATTTCTTGATTGATAAAATCATATTAAAAATGAAATACGTTACATATTCAAAATAAATAATAATTATTAATATCAAATATGTTATTTTATACCATTTATAATATATTTATTGGTTGATAAGATGTTAGTATTATTTTATTTTATTATTTCATTTTTTTTCATTTCCCCCTGTAATCAAAACCTACCACAAAATTTAAATCATTATCAATCAATTTTTCGTCTCTAAATCAAGTTTCAAGTATTTTATCATATCAAAGAGAGCATAGAAAGCTGCAATTTAAGGTAAACTTTCCTCATTTCATCTCTCATTTTCTTGTATTGATGTTGATTTTGACATGAAAAAAACAGCGTCAATTCGGATATGCATATCCAATATCCACCTACTATATTTTGGATATGCATATACAAAAACAGTTTTAACAGATTTTATGTGTTTTTACTCATTTTAGATATGGTGCACCCCGACGTGTTTCCAAAATTGTTGTAAAGGTTTCAACAAGGTGAATGATGATGCTAAGTCAGGTGAGGAGAATGACGATGTTAAAAAAGATTGACGCGAGATAGATATTCGAAAACAATTTACAAATGATCAAATTGGATGAAATTCTAGTACAAAAAACACATACAAACAAAATTGTAACAGCAGATGATATCAAGATAGATGTTACAACATCGAGTAACAAACCAGATCAATCAAGCTAAATATGATGCAGAAAATAAAATTAAAGAATGATAAATAACACAATGAGTTGTTAACCCAGTTGGGTGCAATATCACCTACTCGGAGGCTACCAAGCCAGGAAGGAAGTCCATTATCATCAGTATTAGTTCAAAGCTAAACTCCCTCGTTTATAACTTCTTGCATAATTCGTATCCAATGCAACTTCTACCTAGGTCCTCCCTAAATATGAGAAATCGCCATCTCAGTTCTTAAATCACCTCAGTGATATCTAACAATCATAATTCCAGTAACTACAACAAATACAACTCAATTTAGAAGATCATACTTCCATTACAATAACTCAAACTCTTGCTTAAAAGCTTCGAGTGAGAATAATACTCAACTCATTGCCTAAAGACTTTTGAGTGAGGACAATAACTTGACTAACAGTCAAGCAACAATTAATCGACCATATAGTATCAAAATATACATGGGTGACTTATAAACAACATAAGAGACTCTTAAAATTTAAGACTTATGCTTCCCCTAATTTTACAATTGTTGAAAACTTAAATTACATTAAATTAGGATTCTCCTTTAAATACAACTTTGCAGTCTATGGGCTTCGATATTCTGAATCCAAAAGTTTTTTAATCTATAAGTTGGGTGATGTACTAATTGTGTAGTAAATCTCCTTAAATCTTGGAACAACCAATACATAGTTTCCTAAATTCTCTCAAGGCCCAATTTAGTAATTTTTACACAGCTGGAGATACAAATCTATTCCAAAACAAATCTTCTTGACCTGTGAAAATCTATTATATATATATATTCAAAGAAAAATATAATAGAATCAAATCAAATCTACCAAGATTTAAAAACAACAATGCAAGCCTGCTGCATAACAGAGCATGATGTCACGATATCTTATTTGACATCTTATCAGAACAATGTTTTAGAAAAATATTACCAATCCATAAAACCATGAACCTAACATTGAAAAAGACTCTGCTTTGATAATATTACAGTGCGACGAAAGACAGTACATCAAGTATAACAATTGCCACCGAGTTGGAAGTCATCATGGATAGATTGTCTAAAGCGGATGACACTATGAGATTGCACATTAAAGAACAGTTGGGGAAAATCGCATATTCAGAAACCACTGATTTGAAACCTCTTTCGCAATCGATAAAAACCAAAGGTGCCCAAAAAAGGTGAAAAGTACACAAGATGACAGTTCAACTACGTGGACTCCGTCTTACCATGAAGTTGTTGATTCACATTTCCTAGATTCTCCAACCCCAAAATCGCAAAAAAAAGTGTTTTCAATGAAGCTCGCATTTCTAAACCACCTCGTACACCGTCTATTAAAAAACCACCACTTACACCTCCAATTAAAAAACTACTAATTCCACCACTGATTATCCTCATTGATGAGATGTCGTTTTTTATGCACATACACATTGAAAGGATCATAGATGTGGGGGTGATGATAATTGTAGGTTTCGAGTTGTGTCTGATTTACTTTGTAAATGAGAGGAGAATTACACTCTTGTGCGTCAAATACTTATGTCGGAGTTGACAGGGCATAGGCCCTTTACACACGACTATGTGGGAAAAAGGAAGATTTCGATAAAATTCACAATGCTCTTGTTCCATGAGTTAGCGGTAACACACCATTTGCAAAGTGGATGTGCTTCTCTTAAATGGGAAATTTTATAACAAATACATATGACAGGGTGTGTATTGATCTAACGAGATATGGTTTTTCGAAGACATTTTCCCGCTTTGAAGTCGCTCACCTCAAGACCCATCTGGCTGCATCATTTGTATTGGATATCTTAGATCGTTCCATTTTGTTCAGGTTTATTTGAAACCGGGGTGTCATATTCTGACTACATCAGTGGAATGGACGACACATTCTGGAAAAGAGGCGGAAACTTGGTCGGATCGCTTTTTGAAAAGGATAGCAGAGTTCACCTGATTGGCGGAGCTTGAGAGAATCAAATAGGGAAAAGTCGAAGAAAGAATCGATTTTAGATTTAAGCGGTGACAATTCCTTCGGTACATTTTAGAATGTAATCGAACCATTTTTTGAATGTATTGTCGTTCAAAATGTAAATTATATATGATTCAATACATGTATAACATATATATTCAACATTTTACCGTTGTTTACATTTACCGATTTAATTTTTTCCATGTTTCTATAGTAATGATTCTACTAAAATAGAATATGTTTCTGATTCTGCATAATTTAGATATGCATATTCGAAATAACATTCATTTTTATGAGAGAAAAAAACAAGATTTATTTCGGATATGCATCTTCGAAAACCCCTTATTTTCGTAAAAAAAAGTGAATTCGGAGATTAATATCCGAAACATACCCTAGTGGTAGGATAAAAATTATTGGGTTCAAATTGCTCCAAATCTTCTATAGATAGGGTATCTAAATCATTTCTTCCACATCACACACCACAAAAAGAGATGAGTCAAACATATCCTCACCTTAGTTTTGTCTACTTCAGTGGTGAGAAGTCGTCATTTCAATTTAGATTCTCCGAGAACACACCTCTCGTCGAGCTTATTACCATACTAAATTCTCTCTTGCAATATCCAAAAAATCGAAAGGTGGTCAAGCTCGAGTATCATTCACCCTCACTTGACACTGAATGAAAGATAAAATTCACCCAATTTTCATTGAAGACGGATGACGATTTAAGTATTGTGTGAAGTATTTTTTACCGAAACTCTACAAGAGTCCGATTGAAGTGGATGTGAAGCTTCAAAGATCAGGAGAAGATGTTATCAAAATGTTGCGACGTCCTCAGCTATCCGTTTATAATAATATGTAATGTTAAATTTCTTTTCCACTATCTATGTAATTTCGACTATCTATGTTAAGTTGTTTTGGTTTAAAGGTTTTTGATTCTATTTGAAAGTCAAAGTTTATTTCGGATATGTGTCTGAAAGTTACTATTTGGTGATTTCAGATATGCATTTTCGAATCTATTTGATAAAAACTACAACGTGGTGAGTTCAAATGTGCATATCCGAAATAAGGGAGTATTATGGAAAATTCACCAAAGACTTCTACGAAGACATAAGGATGCATTAAGAAATTGTCTATATAAATAATCATAGTTTATATCATTATTTGTACTACCATTTAAGTGAATAATAAAATTACTTATACCATTTAAGTGAATAATAAAATCCTTACCAAAAAAATTTGAACATACTACGTACATACATAAAAAGTTAATCAACTTTTTTAAAATATTTATTTTTCAACAACTAATAGTTTTTGTTGCAAAGCTCATTCTAATCATGCAAGAAAATATTTTGATGGTTCTTTTACTACAAATATTTCCTTAAAAATCATCGAATATAAACAACGAATTATAAAATAGTCTAAATATCAATCATCAATTTTTCAATCAATGGTTAAAAGTGCACTTTCATTTAAGTGATACCACAGACCAGGAAACCACATGTCCGACACCAAATCACAGACCCAGAAAACCGCTTCCATCCCTGCGAAATCGTGGCCTACCTAAATTTACCCCTAAATTGACTCTACACTTTTGAAAGCTATTCTCACTAGTTATGTATCAACAGAAAATGTTTATTCTGATAGTAACAAGTAACTGATTTGCATCTAAACGTTAGTGGTAATAAATTCAATGCCACATAAACTTGTTTATTAGTCATGAATCACAGGCTTCCCAAAGTTTAATATAGTCAATGCTGCAACAGCACTTGGACTGTAATCAAGACATTCTCCCAACAAACTTTGCTTTGCAAGGTTCTGGTTTATTCTTTCTGAAGGCATTAGAAGCTCGACAAACTTTTGCGCTGAAAGTATTTGTTTTTCTCGACAAACATGATCATGTATTAAATCTCTGCAAAATAAAGGCAGCACATAATGTCAAATATGAGAAATAAATACTTCCTGTGACGAACATATTCTAAGCTTTTTGAGACATTCAGAATTAGTAACGCAAATGAAATAATGCTTCACTCTTACTTGAGCAACAGAGCTAGGTTTTCCGGTTTGCAGGATTGAAAAAGTGCTTCGGGAATAATGGCTGAATCCAAAAGAATATTTGGAAGTGATATGTATTGTATCTTGGCTTTGTACCTAATAAACCATTCAGTCAAAATATGGGCACGATATGCCACAACACAAGGTAAGCGTGCAAGCTGCAGCTCCACAGCAACTGTCCCGGATGTGCACAATGCAACTTTACTAGCCTGTAATGTGTTGATTCAAATTAACTTGGCACAAAATGCAACCTTCATGTAAGATATGTAAGAAGTTAAACCAATTTTCTACTACTGCAACAAGTATTGACATCAGAAGCTGAAAAGAATTTTTTCTCCAAATGGAAGTTTAATGAGACAATGGGGCGTACACTAAAAGCATCATATCTCATGTGTGTTGTTCCACCAGGAATTAATACAACAGGGACAGGCCATCTATGAACAGCACCGGCAATGAAGTTTTCCACGTGTCCATTGTAGAATCACCAATCGCACTTGCCCGTCATTAGGAATGACCAGCTTCTGTTTCCTATACAGTAAATTGTCCAAAACAGAGAAATGGGGATGCAAGGTTGGGTTAGCGAGAACCTGCAGCTTGAGGTCATGCAAAGCTGAATCTTGTTCATAGCTTTTAAGGAGAGAGTCCCATAACTCAGAAGAAATAGAAGAGACGGTCAATTGTAAAACTTCACCGTGCGAGGCTCTCGACAAGGCATCTGCAGCCACATTATCCTTACCCTTCTTATACAAAATTTCATAAGAAAGGCCCATGAGCTTAGTGACCCATCTATATTGGGCTGGAGTCGATAGGCGTTGCTCCAATAGGTACTTCAAACTATGTTGGTCAGTAAGAATTGTAAATGTGTTCAAAGAAAGATATTGGTGCCATTTAGAGACTGCATGAACCAATGCTAATAATTCTCTGTCATAAACTGACAGCAACCTGTTTTTAGGAGACAAAACCTTGCTAATAAAAGCCACAGGGTGCCTGTCCTGCATTAGCACAGCCCCAATTCCCGTGCCCGAAGCATCTGTTTCAACGACAAATGGCTTTTGCATATTAGGGATGGCCAACACCGGAGAATTACTCAAAGCATCTTTCAATGCAGTGAAGGCAGCGTGCGTCTCTTGTGTCCAATGGAAAGAATCTCGCTTGAGTAAATCAGTAAGAGGAGAAGCAATGATGCTGTAACCTTTAATGAACCGCCTGTAGTAACCCGTCAATCCTAAAAATCCCCTCAATTGCTTAACAGTTTGAGGCACCGGCCAATCTGTCACAGCTTGAACTTTAATTGGGTCAGTAGTAACTCCCGTAGGTGTAATGAAATGACCCAAGTATTCGATCCGTGTTGTGAAAAATGCACATTTACTTCTCTTAACATAGAAGGTGTGAGCTTTGAGGATTTGAAACACTTGTCGCAGATGATCCACGTGTGCCTCCAGAGATGGGCTATACACTAGTATGTCATCAAAGAAAATAAGAACACATTTTCTCAATAAACCAGAAAAAATAGTGTTCATTGTTCCTTGAAAAGTAGCTGGTGCATTGGACAAGCCGAAAGGCATCACCACATATTCATACTGCCCCCCATGAGTTTGAAACGCTGTCTTTGGTACGTCCTCCGTTTTCATCCTTATTTGATGATATCCCGCCCTAAGATCCAGTTTAGAAAACACCATTGCCCCACCTAATTCATCCAATAAGTCCTCCACCAAAGGAATTGGGAATTTAGCCTTCACCGTCATTTCGTTCAACCGCCTATAATCTACACACATTCGCCAACTCCCATCTTTCTTTTTGACCAACACAACTGGAGAAGCAAAAGGGGAAGAGCTTGGTTGAATTACTCCCGAATCCAAGAGCTCTCTAACCATGCCATCAATGACATCCTTTTGAGCTGGGGAGTATCTATAAGATCTTAAACTAACCGGATTAGAACCCTCCTTTAGCATAATTTGATGATCATGAATACCCCTAAAGGGTGGCAGCTGAGTAGGTGTTTCAAAGACCTCTTGGAACTCATGTAAAACAGATTCTCTATGAGCCATCATCACCTGATCCTGTAGCTCCTCAGTGGTCACTGAACAACACATTGCCTCTGTGGAACAAGGTAGCAATTGTAGCATATAACAGAAACTGTCTTCAACCATTAACTGATGCAATTTAGAAGCTGAAACTATGCTACTTTTAATTTCTTTAACAGCCTGCAACTTCACCGGCATACCATTCATAGAAAATTCCATAGCCATATTGGTAAAATCCCAGTGGATGACTCCCCATTGCCTTAACCATTGCATGCCCAATATAATATCACAACTGGACAATGGTATTGCAATAGCATTAGTAAGAAAATCATACCCTTGAAGCTTTAACCGGATGCCTTCACACCGTCCTGTACCTTGTATAAGACCGCCATCAGCTACAGTTATCCGCAAGGGATGCATAGGTTGTAGAGTATTGAGCCCCTCTTTACATAATTTCTGGTTGATGAAATTATGTGTGCTGCCTGTGTCTATGAGTACATGAACTCTCTTTTTGCCCATCCATCCTATCAATCTCATCATAGGATGAGAAGAGTCTCCCTGAATGGCATTAAGTGAAACAGTAGGGTCAACACCTTGAGTAGGATCATTAGAAATTTCCTCAGGAACAGAATCAGCTCCCATTGTGTCCAATTGGTTTTCCTCCCCAACCTCCATAAGGAAAACTTGCATTTTCTTCCTCTGAGGACAATCATGTCCAGGAAAGAATTTGTCATGACAGAAAAAACACAAGTTTTGAGCCCTGTGTTCCTCCATTTCTTTCGGAGAAAGTTTCTTCTGAAACGTATATGCCGGCTTTCCCAAAACGCTCTTTTGAGAACCTTCGATATTTCCTTTCTTCTCCTGAGGCATCACTTTCTTGTCAAAGGTGTGAGAAACTGTATTCTTCTTCTCACTCCAAGAACCTTGTGTTCGATTTGCAGGCCCCAATCGTTTCTGTAACAATTCCAAACTTCGTTCTTGCAACTTTGCCATACGAGTAGCTTCCAACACCGTTCGCGGAGCGAACATCTTCACACCATTACACAATTCCTGTTGAAGGCCTCCCAAATAGCATTGGAGCTTTTGAGATTCCGTCAACGCTGTTCTACCCACAAGATTGTCAAACGATTCCTGATACGCCTCCAGCGAACCAGTCTGTACCAATTTCTTGAGTTCTTCCATAGGCGAATCGAACTCGAGGCTAAATCGCATCTTCAATGCCTCGGTGAAATTCTGCCATGTCAATCGGCCATTCGATCCCTGTTCTAGACTTTGGAACCAACGAAAAGAGTTATCATCAAGAGCGATACTCGCAACCGAGACCTTGTCCCCTTCTTGCGTTCTATCCAACAAAAAAAAACGTTCACATTTTGCAATCCAAGATTCGACATCGTCGCGAGTGAATTTTGGGAAATCCAGACGCGTTAATCGCGTTGCTGGTCGAGTTGCTCCGTCGCCGTTGCCACCATGGCGACGCGCCGCCGTTAATTCCGCCAATTGCAATCCAATTCCGCGCATGGCTTCTTGCACATTGGTGAATTGAGTTTCGAAACGGTTCTCCAATTCACGAATTTGCCTCGTGATACATGGCTCCACCGCCGTCATTATGCGTTCCTCTGCCTCACGAATGGCGTTCTGCATTCGCGTCGCTTCTGCCATGAATGATGTGGCCGAGGTCGACAGGCTCTAGATACCAATGATAGGGGAGAGAGGGAGAATATAGAGAGAGAGAGAGAATAGAAAGTAGAGATGAGGAAAGAGTATTTTTATTTATTCAACAAAAGCATACATTGGATGGTTATTTTCTAACTATATATAACTGTCTAAGCAGTTATAACAACCCAATACAACTACTAACAGCTGTATACACTAATACATGCATCACTACTACTGCAACAAGTATTGACATCAGAAGCTGAAAAGAATTTTTTCTCCAAATGGAAGTTTAATGAGACAATGGGGCGTACACTAAAAGCATCATATCTCATGTGTGTCGTTCCACCAGGAATTAATACAACAGGGACAGGCCATCTATGAACAGCACCGGCAATGAAGTTTTCCACGTGTTCATTAGGGGCAACATGAATGATTGTCATCAACTGTGGAACATTGTCTTTCAGTAGTTCCATTGTGTTTGTGAAAATGGGAAGCATCCGACTGACTTCTTGTACTCTGCTCCCAGGAAGCAAGCTAATAACAGTGGCTCCTTTTAAAGTTAAAGTCGATAAGATGATAAAGCAGACTATGACATCAATATTAAACAAAATTGTGCAAAGTGTATCTAGAAAATGGTTCTCGGCTTTCGCAAACCTTCTTTTTAGGACCTATAATTAACTTCAAGTTCAAAGGTTGCCTTGGATACCAGAAAGAAACAATAAACTACCACATTTTTCTTAAAGATGCATATTGAGCTTGTGGAGCTGTGTTTGATTACAATTTAGAAGTACCTGGGGGAACTTCATGTTTTCTTCGAAAGTCTTTGCTGTTTCCTTCAGCCTTGCATTCATTGATTGAGGGACTGTTTATCTGAAAAAATATCCAGTAGTTACTAACAAAACTCAACCATAACTTTAACTACACGAGGAAAATAAACAAAAAAAATTGCTAAAGGAGAAAGAGGAATACAAATATATACGTCACACATAATAGTTCTAAGAAACTACAAAGCTCGTACCAAATTCAATTCCATAATGTCTTCCAAAACAGGATGCCCTACAAAGGTTGCAGATAATCCATTCAATCTACAAATTTTATCCTCGTTTGGAAGTATGCACAGCAGATGATCCACAAATTCCGCAAGTCCTGTGAGTCTTTCTTCCCCTCCTTTCCATGCCCAAAACGATGGTGCTACATAGTGAAAATGTACTGGCGAATGCAACTTTTTCTGACTGTGTCTCGCTGCAAAACGCATTCCCCCATTTGCATACAACATACCTCTAAATAGCAAATCCACAACAGATCATACATCAACATAGGTACATTAATTTAGTAGCTGTACTGTACCTCTTAGCTTCTTCAAGAACCGAAAAGAAAAGCCCTTAGAATCAACTGTTAATACAACATGAGGCTCAAATAGAGAAGCTGCTTTCACAGCTTCATTCAGTCTCACCTAAAAATAAAAAACACAGAATACACATGTGTTACTTACACACAAGCTTTAAAAAATATTCAAAACAAGGTAAAAGGTCCCCCAAACACTTAAGCTATAGTAGCAATCAATTACGTGAAGTTTATTTGGTTTATTTTAAGACATAAGCACTTGTATAAGTGTTTGGAAAGAGCTTATAGAAATAACTTACGATACGTACATAAACAATTTTCAGCTAATTTTCGTAGTCTATCAAAGAAAGCATACAATTTTCAGCTAATTTTTGTAGTCTATCGAAGAAAGCATACAATTTCGTAGTCTATCGAAGAAAGCATACAGTTTTCAGCTAATTTTCGTAGTCTATCGAAGAAAGCATACAGTGTTGTAGTCTATTGAAGAAAGCATAGAATTTTTAGCTAACTTTCGTAGACTACCGAAGAAAGCATACAATTTCATAGTCTATCGAAGAACGCATACAATTTTCAGCTAATTTTCGTAGTCTATCGAAGAAAGCATACAATCTCATAGTCTATCAAAGAAAGCATACAATTTTCAACTAGTCTATTGAAGAAAGTTTACAATTTTCAGCTAGTCTATTGAAGAAAGTTTACACGCAAAACAAGTATATTATACAAAGTTAATATAGAGTTTATCGCTTCACTCCGTGGATTTGAAAAACAACTTATTAATTAAACTCTTATTTATATGACTAAATTAAGCTGATCAGTGATCACTCAAAACACCCCATAATTCCAAAACATAAAACAATTAGTTATATTTCTTATTCTTAACAATGTAGTTAAGCACAAACACCGGAAACATGACATTGGCATGTTAAAAAAAAACAAATAAATTAAATGTAATTACAAGTGTCAGTGGACACAGATACCCTTTTAGAGGTGTCGGTGCTACAAAGATCAGAACTTACTTTGAATGTATACAAATGTGGCAATAGTTCCCAAATGCCCATTACTGAGATATCTTCAATAGGAAACAAAGATTGCAATCCTTCACTTCTCATCTTAGTCCTGAAATAGATCAAAAATTCAAATCACATCAAGGAATGCAATTTCTCAGCACACAAGTTTATTTTCAAAATTGAATGGAAAGAGTAAATTTGATACCCTCCAATGCCAGAAAAACGAACAGGGAAAGGAGAAAGAAGCTTAAGCGAAGCCATGAGACGAGAAGCGATGGAATCACCGGAAACTTCACCGGCAACAAGAAAAACCCTAAGTTCGCCATCTTTTGCAGCCATATCCAATGGAGCTTTGAACTTCACGTGTTGTGAAGATGAAAAAGAAGAAGAAAAGCTCGTAACACTGTTTGGTGGTTTCAATTTCCATTTTCTTGTCAACAAAATCAAAGCTTTTGCACCAAACATTGCAACTCAGTTGAACACTGCAATTTCTTCAACTTGTATCCCAAATGGCAAATGTTCATCTGATACAAAATAAAATTATTTGTGATATTAATAAAAAAAATTAATTGGAATGACATTGTAAAGAAATTTTATGTCATTAACCGTTAGATTTTTAATTAGGTTTGGTTTTTATTTTAATTACGTCATTGTACTAAAACATTAACTTTAATAATATAAAATTGTACTGGTCAAAAGTGTGTGTTCTTTTTGCAAGACTTTGAGAACTTAGTATGTATTATGATTAACAATGATAAAAAAATCTCTATATCTGAGTTTTCGTAGATAAAACTCGTCACGTAGGTTGTCTTAATAGATATTTACGAATAAAATAAATAAATATTTAATTATTTATTTATTTACGGGTACAGACATAGATTTGATAATATTTGTATCTACGGGTATCCGTATCCGTTAATAATTAATAAAATTAATTGATTTATTCTAAAATTATTAATATTATTATTATTATTTTGTTGAATATGAAATTATCATTATTTTGTTGAGCATAATATAATTATTTGTAAAATGAAGAAATGAAATGAATGTGATTTATTTTTTGTTATTATTATTATTATTATGTGTTAAATATGAAACTATTTTGTTTTCTTTAAAAAGGACAAGAAAATTAATTTATTATATATTTTTTTAAAAAGTAAAAGTATTCATGAATATCTGCGGGTATCTCAAAATCCACGGATACTCGTATAACGGATACCCGCACAGATATGGGACGGGTACGTGTATCATATTTACTAAATGGGGCGGGTAGCGGGAAACTAATACATGTATCCATGGGTATTCATTGTCATCTCTAATTATGTTGTATGTTGGTTATGACTTGTTCATGACGGCGACAAGCTCTATAAAATATTATTTGTGGAGGTTTTAGAAGTCCTACTCACGTGAGGTGATAAGCTTTGTGGATGGACGATATGCTTATGTATAAGCTTCTGAGGGGTGTGATCATATGAGATGTGATCTTGCTAAACGTTATGAATTATAGTGTAATGACTTCTCTCCCACCCTTGAGGGGAAGAGTGTTTATAAAGACCTATAAGGCCTAAGATTTTATTGGAAATGGTCACCGCTCACTCAATCAATGGTGGACCGTGGAATCCTTATTTTCAATGGAGACATGGGCTTGTTCGTGACCCAGATTTCTCTCTATCCAAAAAACTTGTTATCATGTGTTCCCTACGATTAGGCGATAAGAAAGCCCTAGGGTGAGGCGATGTGTCCCTTTGGGCGACATTCTATCGAGTCGCCTCTTCAGGGGCAGTCTAAAAGCATCGCCCTAGGCAGAAACTCTTACAATTATAACACTACATAGTCCCTCAAGCACGAGGCCCTTAATGAAGACGAAGTGTTTTAATATCGCAACTTAGGGGAGTATTCTGTGAACCTCGATTTCAACAAGTGAAACCTTAGTTATCCTAGAGAGCCTGGGTCCCTTAGGCATAGTAATGTGCATCCTGGCTAATGAGACCATAACTCCCTCAGGCGAGGCATTTGGCCTCTCAGACAGTACTCATATTGAGCCTTAAAGTAAGACTTGTGATCAAGTCTCTCGGGTTGGATGTCGATCGCACCTCCTAGGCGTGATTCTTAAGTCTGATCCCACCCGAGGGGATATTAAACCCCTCGTGCGAGAGTTTGGTTGTAATATGTAGCCCGGATGACAAGACCATATGTCCCTTAAGTGAGGCATTTGACCTCTCGAACGGGAGTTTCACCAACCCCTTAAGAAAGACTTATGATCAAGTCTCCCAGGTTGGATATCAGTCGCGCCTCTTAGGTGTGATTCTGGAGTCTGATCCCCCCCCCCCCCCCCCCAGAGACAATAAGTCCCTCAGGTGAGAGTTTATTTAGCCCAGGGAATCTAAGTCCTTTAGACGCAATAATATATAGCTCGACTGATAAGATCATATGCCCCTCAAGCGAGGCGTTTGACCTCTCCTTAGGGATTGAAAAATCACCAACTTTATCATACTTTTGTCACACAACTCATATACAACCCTTTGAAATAAAATACTCATTAGTTGAAAGATCTTTAGAAGATTTAACATCAAACAAATGACCCTCTTGTTTAAGGAATGAAAAAGAGGGAAAAGATGTTTCTTTAATACTCGAACGAAGAAGAGGAGGAGCGGCGTCAACCTTGATAAGAAACATGAAAGAAACTTTCTCCAACGAAGATGATGAAATATGCTCAAAGGCATCCTATGATGGAGATATTATTTCAAGTATCAAACTATCTTAAGCACGATTATTTAAAATGAGTGGTTAATTATTGGAAGAACATGCTAAACTGAGAGAATGCATCATATGCCTTAAGGAATCATTAAGATATCTTAAATAAATTAATGATTCATTCAAGAAAGAAATAACTAAACTCATAAATTTAAAATAATAATGTAAGTCATGTGACTCCCTTACAGAATAAGTAACTGATTTACGTGAAACCTTAGGAAATTCACCCGGAAAAAAAAGAAGATAAGTTTGACTTGATCCTATCACGTCAAAGATTCTCCAAAATAAAAATGTTCTAGGATTTAAAAATGATAGAAACCCTAGGAAATGTATGTATCATAAGGGTCAGAAGCATCCAGTCTATAAGTGCACACACTGTAAAACAATTGGACATTTAAAACCCTTTTGTTTTGATAATTTCAAAAGATCTAAAAGAAACAACCTTAAGTCTTTTGGAGCTAATGTACCTGGGCCCAAGAAGACGAGGGCACCAAAGGTAAAACTTTAGTGTTTTACATGTATGCTTTGTAGCTTATGGATTTAACGATTATCAAGGAAGTTGTTCAAATCAATAGTATACTTCTAAAAGTATACAACATTTATGAAGTATCTGATCGGGGGATGAACAATGATGACAAATGTCAATCGTTATGATCAAGGCAAATTGTTTAAGAATATCTTAAAGTTTATGATCCTTAGTGACCAGTTGAATGAATATGTTTGTAGTGGACTTGCTCATTGTGTTGTTTATACCAACTCTCACATCCAACAATATATATAGAATGATACACCATATTATATTTGGTGTTTTCCTCCTCATGAAAGTATTTATTAAGAATTATTGATACAACAGGTATACATTATTTTTAGGTTGAAATAATTGGAATACTTTGATTAACTCATTAAAATAATAAATTTAATTTTAATCACCTCAATAAATCATTTTTCTAACCCAAAAAAAGAGTGCTTTGAGTATTATGAGAAAGGAGGTGTAAATAAAGTAAAGCATGGGTTCAACATACAAAGCCTATAACAATATATGATGAATTGGACCAAAATAACCGATTAACACTAGCATTTAATCGATTAGATCATATAAAAATTCTGAAAGTTGAATGTCATAGCTCACCATAACGGATAATTAGGTGACACATAAATGTAACTTCTATTTTCAACGGCTAGCTCGAAAAAATTATTGTTGATAATCGATTAGCACTTGCTTCTAATCGATTATACATAAGCCATAAATAGAGGTAACTTTCTCATTCTTCTCATTTCAATATTATCTTACTTATGCATTCCATTATAAACATATTAGCTCTCCCAATCATCAATCATCACTCTAAAATAGCCTCAGAGAGAACTCGTTCCTCCAAAGTCTCATCCTCATACTTCTCTTCCTAAGCTCAAGAAACCAACTTCAACCTATATTATGTCAATAGATAATTTTTTGTCTCTCATTACTTTGATGAGAATCCCTTCAAGAATTGTTCCTTCATAGAAGCCTTTAATTTCACCAGGTTGAATAACTTTGTGTTTGAAAAACCTCAAGAAAGGCATTTTGGATTGGTGACAATCGTACTTTGCCATCCTTTTTAGGCACGGGAACAATGTTGGCAACCCATTGAGGATAGGAAGTGAAAACAAAAAATCTAGCGTTAAATTGTTTCATGACTTCCATTTGATCTTCTCCGACATGTCAGGTCTCATGCGGAGGACTTTTTGTTTTACTGGTGGACAGTCTTCTCTTGTGGGCAGACGATGTACCACAATGTCTGTATCAAGTCCCGACATGTCTTCGTATGACCAGGCAAAGATCTCAACATAATCATGCAACAGCTGAATTAGACGCTCCTTGACACTCGGCTCTAGATTTGCACCCACCTTGATTTCTTTTTTATCCTCCTCGGTACCCAAGTTGATTGTATCCACCGGTTCCTCATGAGGTTGAATAGCTCTTTCCTCTTGTTGTAGTAGTCTGGCCAGTTCCCCTGGTACTTCACAATCTTCCTCACCTTCATCTTCGGCTTGGTAGATTAGATCCTCAGAGTCACTAAAGGCCATAGCAGTATCGTTACCCATGGGATCCGGAATGGAGGGGTACCTGCATTTGTGAGTGTGGGTGTGTGTATGGGTATATCCATCCTTAAAAAAAATGTAAAAGAAAAATAATGAGCACAAAAAGTTTGTATGTGAAAAACGTCCATGATTCATTGAATGTCATATGAAGATGAAATAAAAAGCCTTACAAATGGACCATTGTGCCCCGGGCAAGACACAAGGTTTTAAATGTGCGAATTGTTTGTGAATATTACAAGTCCAACATAAATGTAAAAGATAAATTATTGAGAGATGAAAGTTATTGGAACAAAGTCTCTGGCTTCCCAATTGCGAAGTCCTCCGTTGACAGTAGGAAATATCCAATCTTCCAAGCTGCAATCCTCTTCACCTTCTTCCACTGCATTGATCTCTCAGTTTCTAATCTTCAAAGGTGGCCCTCCAGCACGGGCACGGCGTACAACCCTCTGAGCACTTGAATTAAACCCTAAGCCAAACTTGTCAGATTTATACAGAATGTCCGGAAGTTTCCCCCAGATGGTGTATCCTCCCTCCTCTACTACTGCCTTGGCGTCCTTTAGAGATGACATCCGGATCGAAGGTCTTGTGATCTTGGGAATCTGGGACACCGTCTTGGTTACTACTACCTCTTG